CACAAAAAAAAAAAAAAAAAAAAAAGCAAGAATAATCTTTCATAGAAAGAGATGCCGGGGGCAATACTCTGTCAAGCTCATATTGCTATTCAACTGTTGCTTTGAAGCAACCAACATGCAGTTTTGACATTTAGTCAAATGCACTTTTTCTGAAGACAATCCAATTTTACAGTTTCAGCAGCCTGCAGGACTTCTCTGTACAATATGAACACTAAACAGAAATGGCTTATGACAAAGTTTAATGTGCTCAATTTGAGCTAAAATGGATCAATAGTTTAGCCTCTATATTCATACACCATATGGTGCTTCATTCCAATTATTAGATTTGAATTTCTGTTGCACTGAGTCAGTTCCCACATCAGCTTGACGATAATCTTTCCAAAAGTCTGTAATTGACATCAGACAAACCAGTGTCTGGGTACCACGTATCATTTACTGTTTTTAAAAATTAGGACATCATTAAGCTTCCTCCGGTGCTCTTGAGGCTTTCCAGCTCTTTCTTCAAGATCAATATGAGAAGCAGAGAATTCCTCAAATTATTTGTACCCTAGATTGAAAACTGTTATCCACTATGTAGTCTGCGGTTTTGTTTGGTTTGTTTTTTTTTTTTAAATAATAGCTTTAGCAGTTATAATTTAACTTTTTTCTTAGCTATTATTTTTATATACTATCAGTAGACCACACAGCTTCGTTTCAGTAATGGAATTAAGTTCTTCTGCATTTCTTGAGTTATTGACATTTCTTGAATTACTGACATTACTACCCTTATTTAATATTATTCTTAAAGTGTTAGCATATTTTCCAAGGAAAAAGGAAATCCTTTTCCCTATTTTCAACTCACTTTGTTTTGAGCAACACTTTTGCTTTCTCTTATCAGTTGTCTACATTTAGTAACTCCCAATTCCATGTTTACACTCAATTCCTTGCTTGTTCTATTTGTTACATCCCTGAAAATGCCACCATCCCCAGCTGGTTTGGAGTCTCAACATCTGTGATCTAATTTTAGGATTAGATTTTTTTAATGTATGAACTCCTGTATTTTTAATAATAATAGAAATATTAAGGGTGGAAGTTTTAAAAACTAGAGTAAGAAAGAACACTTGATGTGTTAACTTTGATAAATTCTATTAATCTAAGGTTCTTTCATTTGTGCTGCCTTTTAAGACTAGATATCTAAAATAGCTATTAATATAAGAGCCTATTGACATTTTTAGCCTGTAGGAGCATGCAGTGGGCAGACGCAGCTGAAATAGTAACATATTTGAGTGATGAACCAGCTTTATGATTTTATTACTCAGACTCTCCCAAATCTATGGCTGGTGTTTTTCCCCCCCAGTAACTCAGAAATTAAGCTGTTCTACATTTAAAACTTGCAACTGATCATATACTAAAAACTTCTCATGGTTAAAGCAACAAAATCAGCTCATGATAAACCTTTGAAAAAAATAAATATCTAGCTTTGAAAAAAGTGCCTTGAATTATTCTTGTTCTTTACATGAACAATAAAAGAGAAATAGCAAAAAAAATCATCTAATATAGGTTAGAGACAATTATGCTAGTTAACAGGACTATATTACATATCAGATTAAAATAGCAGGGACCTTAGAGCGAAAAGGAAAGCGACAGATGTAATGGAACACAACCTAAGCGTTCTCCCTCACAAGACACACTAGGCTATCAGCAGTTCTGTGCTAACACCCAAAACACAATGACTTACAAAAAAAATCACTGTCCCAAAATTAAGAAAAAATAATTGAGCTTTTCGACACAGCCCGGTCAGACCTTATGCAGCAACTCCATGGGCTGCAGGATAGGAAAGGGGAGTTATCATTTCCATCACTTCAATCTCAAAGCCTTCATTTGCTAAAAGTTACACAAAACCAGAATTTTCCATTTTATTGTGCAGTCCCCCGTGTAAGAGTTTGCCCTAGTCTTCACAACTTTAGAATTCATGAACCCTATGCCACCTCGGACAAGCCAAATGCAGGAGCCTTTACTTTGAATGCTGTTTCTAAAGGTATCTGAGAAGTCAGTCAGGTTGCTGAGGCTTGTAGCAACCACTTAGTCACCCCATAAAGCCAAGTGATGCTTTTGTTGTTCCACAATCTTTCCACATTTTTGCACACACAGCAAGTCTTCCTCCTCCCAAATTTTTCCCACAACTTGCTGGTCCAAAATAGGTCCTGTGTTTCCCATTGCTCCCCAAACCACTGTGCTGCAGTGATCTAGTCTGATCCATGAGCATAAGGATGCACCCATATGGTATTTTGTTTCTGAATATTCTTCAATACAGGTGCACACTTCCTAAAATAATCTGGGAGATCCAGACCAGCTTAACCGCACTGTTGCCTGATTTGTAACGTTTATGTGCCTGGGGGGGTGGGGGAATCTACACTTGTACAGACATACTCACAGACATTAGAAGAATTCCAGAGTCTGATACACTGGAATAGAACGATAAATTAAACAATAAACATATCTCACAGTGGGTGACGACAGCTCATGTGAGCATCATAGAGGGATGCTCATTTAATGCAGAAGAGAGGAAACTAATTATTTGGTACACAACGAAAAAAAAAAAAAGAATGAACATGCAATAATTGACCTTTTAGCAGCTCTACAATTAATTAAGCTGTTTTGTACTGTATTAGTTCTAAAGAAGCTACACATCTCTTATGTATTTCTAGAAGAGCCTACCAGGAGTGCAACAAAGTCCAAATCTGGTAATAGAGTGTAACTTGGTGTAAATCTGCAGCAGGCAGACCTAAGCCCTCAGGGAGAAACCAGCCAATTCTGTCCCTTCTCAAATTTAGTCATTTATTTCTGCTGCAACTCCTACTAAAACCAGTAGCAACATGACTAGAGAGTGGAATAAGAGTGAGAAATTAATCCAATTAGTAACTTATCAGGAAAAGAGCCAGACTTTTAGCCACACTGTTTGCTGAACCAGTTCACCGCATGAACGTGCTGCCCACACACAGGAGGTGAAAAGAACAAATCAGGCAGCTGCAGACAGAAGGGTAGAGCAGAATTATGCCTTTTGGAAGCAAAGGATTATGCTGGTTTACACTGAAAGTGGAACTAGGAACAAAGCGACAGGGAGCAGTAAGAAAGCAAGGGACTTGCCCAAAACAACTGGCAACAGACATGCCTTCTAAAATTCCGAGTTTGATGCATGGAGCAAAAGCTGCCAGTAATACCAAGTCTGACTGAAACCAAACATTAAAAATCTTACACTTTGCATGATGGATAAGCTAGTTACAAGTGTCATTGTATAGTGCTAGCTTTAATTGCTCTGAGACAAATATAGCTTTCAGAATTTAATAGCTCCCCCTCAGCTTTTCTGCCTTTCAAGGAGAGAAAAATCTTCCCATTAGAAAAAGCACACAGGCATATATAGTTGCATGTGACCACAAGAGAAGCAGGAAGCAAACCATTGAGATGATTAAGTTAGTCTCCAACACTCACTCAGAACTGTTTTCAAGAGCCCAATTGCCTTCCTATTGCACTGCTCTGGTTCCAGTTACAGCAGGTGATGGAAGTACACATACCTGCGCCTTTTCGAGATAAGCCACCTCGTTGCTTTATTAGCAGACTGTACTGAATCTTGCTCGTCCCAAGTTTCAAGTCAAGATGTTGCCTTTACTAGCAAGCTGCCTGGGTACCCACACACTTCTTCCTCTGCCACCTAGCTAGGCACCACAGGGGAGGAAGAGGAGGAGCAAGTCTCCTGCACGCACATGCAGCCTGACCCTTCCCTGCAGCAGTTCTATCAGCATCTCATATATGAGGGGGTCCAAAATCTGCTACGGCAGCAGAGACTGCAGCACCCCAATACAGGCATGAAATAAAGTTCTCTCTTCTGCCTTCTTATACCCAATACGGATTTCCAAAAATTTAATGCAAGTTTTACTTAGCAGGCTTTAGTTTCCCTCCCTGAGTTGATAATGGGTTTCAGACAGAAAATTTGGCTGTCAGCTAGAAATGTGTTCTACAGATTCAGCATTCCTGTTCACCTTCATTTTAGAGGTCATTATGTAACTGAAGTGCCTGCTATTTTTCTGTAATTCTGGGAGTTAAATGAAAAATAAATAAATGCCACTGCTGCAGTGGCAATCTTTCTGCTTTCCCTCAGGCCATGACTGCAAACCCCCTTCTCCCCACCCCCTCCATCACCTGGCTTGTGCCCTCTACCTATTTTTCTCTGTGGTTTCATCCATCTTCTCTTTTCTTTATTGAGCTGAACTCTTAATAAAAATTAAGAGTCCTGGTTGTCTTCATCCCCATCTTTGGTGAGTGGGGAAAAGAATAATGCTACTTATGGAAGAGAAAGCATTAATCAGGCTGTAGGAATTACCAAATGCCACATTAGAGCTGAAGAGATGGGCCAGCTAGGAGTCCAGGTCTGCCTGCATTACAGAGCTGTGCATGCACTGTAGAGTGCCAGCTGGAGGTCTGCCAAGGAAGCACTTACCACGCTGAACAAAACCAAAGGTAGCATGCCACCGCTGCTTCTGTGCTCTGTCCTACCATTTCTGAGGTGCAGACCAGGCTGGACAGAACACGTTAAAGGAACTATGTCTATTTGTTGCTTAAGAGAGATTTTAAAGCAAGCCTCCTGATGTGCACTGTTCTGCATTGGAACATCCATACTCTACT